GAAAATTTGGTTTCATTTTTTTTTTTGCACCTTTTTTTAATAATTGTTAAGATTTTATGAAGAAGTTTCTCGTAATAAAATTTGGTTTCAGTTATTTTTTTAATAATTGTAACGATTTCGTGAGACGATTCTCAGCGACGTTCATTTTTCGTTAAAATACGACCGGGTTAAAGTATCAAATTTGGGTTATCTTTTTTGTATATTTTTCTCATAATTGAAACGAGTTCACGTTCATCTTTCGTTAAATCGTCACTGGGTTGAGTTTCTCTACAAAAGTTTTTTGCGACAAAAATTTGGGTAAATCATTTTCTGGATTCTCTCTTTCCGCGTATGTAACGATTTCGTAAGATTTGATGGACGTTTGATCGAAAAATTAGAACGGGAAGCACTTTCACCCTGTCGAGGCGTGATTGCGCGAGGCACGTAGAATGAGTAGTGAAACTTGAAAAAAAGAAAAAAAAGCAGCGTCGCGCATATAAATGACTATCGATGGGCCGTGATTCGCGGTGCATTTTTCGCCATATAGACGAATCACAAATTCACATTCGTGTTGCAGTTAATCGTGCTCGGAATACTGGCCGTGGCCATGTCTTCGCCTGTGCCAGGCTACCATGGGTGAGTTCACGGAATACTTCAACGTTTTCCTGTCAATTATATACAACTCGTCGTTTATTGAAAAACAGAAAATTACCTTCGGTTTAATTTTCACCAAAAATACATCGATCCTTTTCTTCTTCTTTGTTTCTTTACCAAATTAACCCTTCACACCTTCGGCATTTTTTTATACGACCATCAGCAACTACAGCACACTTTTTCAGTGTTTCAGAGGGGAAGATCATAAATGTTTTTTTATTTCTTCCGTTAATTTGCCTTTACCTGTGTATATTTAGCTTCTTTGAAAATTGCAATATTTGTGACAGAAAGTATATAAAAATATAGCGAATTAGCGAAGAAAAAGAGCTTAACCCAAAATTTTTCTTCGTTTATGAGATAGCGATAAAAAGTAAAACGAGACTGAAGAATGTGATCGAATATAATTATGTACGAAATTAGATAATTTTTTTTCCACCTTTAGAAAGGTCCTTCCTGAAGATGTTAATTGAACGAAATCATGGATGCCGTTAGAGTGGAAAGGGTTAAATATGGAAGTTTTTATAAAGCGAATGTGAAAGTAGTTAAAGAGTGTAAGGGGAAGAAATTAGCTGGTTTTAAAGAAAATCAATCGACTGATTTCAGTTCGCACCACCACGTCCGCGTCCACGTGCCTTATCATGTGCACACGGTTCATCATCATCATGTGAAGAAGATACCCGTGCATCACGTCGAGAAGGTGCCCGTCCCTGTTCCAATTCCCATCCATCACGTGCAAAAGGTGCCCGTACCAGTGCCGGTACACCATATCGAAAAAGTGCACGTACCTGTTCCGATTGTCGAGAAGGTTGCTGTACCTATACCCATTCACGAGGAGAAGAAATGGTGGTAATTGGGAGCGCACCGTTTTCCGGCTTGTTATTATTTAGGTAATTAGAAGACACGGGTATTTTACGTTGGTAAATAGAGAGAGCCGACATTTTT